AAATGGGATATAATTTCCAAATCATTAAACTAAAGAACGGAAAGGAAAACAAATGATTTCAAAACAAAACAGCGAAAGAATCGAGGAGAAAAGACTAAGGAAGGAATATTTTTCTTAAAAACCCTAAAATTAGTCTAAACTGAATCTTTTCTTTCTTTTTCTTCTTTTTTTTTTTTTTTGGGATAAAAGGTCTAAGCTGAATCTTCTGATAATAATTGTTGCTTTTGAATGAAAATGGAAGAATGCCAAAATGAATGAGGAAGTGGACTATAATGGGTATGGGGGCAACCATATTTCTGCATTCACGTGCTTCGGCCACTAAAAATTGAACAGAATGCGCTAAAGGAGAGGAAAGCATTTAGGGGGCACAGCACATCACATACATGGCCCAGTTATAGCCATCTTTGATCAAGGACAGGGGAAGGTTTGAACCGTAAAAGGCCTAATTCTTACACAAGTCAATATGTTTGAAAATGACTTCCGGTTATAAAATGAATAATGGTAATGTGGGTCACATAATTTATTCGGACCAGGTGTTCCTCCGCTCCCCACCGCTTTGAGAAATCCGATGCCGCCTTAAATCATCGATTTTGAACCTCCTATATATTTATTCTCTTGAGATTTCAAGTGATTTGAGAATAAGGTATATCTTTAATTATTTTATATATAGACTAAATTAAATTAAATTATATTATATTAATTATTGGATGAAAGGTGAATCATTTGATATTTGTGTATTTTTTCATCTAATAGTTTTTATTTTATAATTTAATGTAATTTAGATTGTTAAAATAAGATTTCCTTTTTTTTTTTATTTACATGTTAAATTTTTATTAACCTATAGCATAGTTAGCTTTTATTACATTATTGTAAAGAATTTTTTTGCATTAATGCTAACATCTTATGTAATTTAGTGATGATCTTTTTTCAATAAAAGTAAAGAGTTATAAATTTAAGTTACATAGTATATAAGTAAAGTGAATTAAGAGATAAGAAAGATGTTGTTTTTTATTATACAACCCAATGTCAAAATAAAAGAAAAAAAAAATCCGCACTGGTTAATTAACAATGGTTTTTGGTACATAATTAACAATGATTTGATTCTTCTATGAATTCATCCATACACTTTGAAAGATATGCCGAGCAACCTTCGTGTTGACCATAAATTATTCCTTACAATAATAGTTCTAGCCTGCAAAAGACAAGAAGAAAACATCATCAAATATTATTAGATTTTTGACAATGCTAGGCGGTTTTGTTGGTCTTTTGTCCGTTGTTTTTATATCTTTCTGGGATTCAAATTTCAGCCTCATAACATTAAGAAAAGAAACTTTAGATACTCAAGTCAGTACCAGTCGTTGGATCTGCAGTGGTGGGGTCCTCGTGGAAGTGGTAGTTGCTTGAGATATTTCTCCTCACGGGGTATGACCTGAACAGAGGGTTTCGATCAAGTCAAATCTTTTCAAATTATATGTAACTTATAACATAAAACATGAAAGAATCAGTTCAACCTAAAACATGAGGAGCCAGATGTGCAAAGGCGTACTAGTGCAGAATATATCATCCTCAACTCGTATGGGAAATGAAGATAGGTAGCTTACATATGAGAGACCCAGCAAATTACTACAGACAGACGTTAAGCACAAAAAGTTGAGTAAATTGCACAGATCTATAGTACCAAGCACATCCTAATTCTAATGTTATGATTCAACATCACCTCCTAAAAACTTTTATTAAATTGAGCCAGTCTAAACACAAATTAGTAACATCCAGGACCATCAACAAGCACCGCTGCCATCTCCCTTATCAGAGGAAGGGTTGATTGCAGGTTTCTTTGCTGAGCTTGATTCTGTTGTGCCTGTATTCATCAGAACTCGCTTCACCCCTCTTCCCACAACACCAAGATCTGTTACTCCAGCTGCTCCATTGGTGTGAGCAGTGGAAACAGTTGGAGGGTCGAAATCTCCATTGCTAGTAGCAGTACCTATCTGTGAAGAGTTTAGCACACCAGGAGATGCATCCTTCTCACTGTCCTTTCCCCTGCCAGGTATTGTTCCAAAGATTTCTAAGAGAATTGACTTTGGGTTGGAGACCAGCTGCTGTAGATCTTCAAGCTGCAAACATAAAAATGAACAATATAAGGAGCTTATATGCAAAAGATTCTGGTTCGAAATGAAAATCTATTTGCACTTGCCTTCCTTTCCAGGTCTTCAGAGAGTTCACCAAGTGTCTTGATCTCTGCCTCTTTATCTGCCACAGCTGATGATGTTGCAGATCCCAATGAACTCTTTACTTCATTTGTAAGTCGCTGAAGTCGTGACTTACAGATTGAGATAGCATTCTGACAGTAAGGTATTGCCTCTTGTGGCTTAGAGCCAATCTCAAGACACATGCATATCCGAAAATTTCTGAATTATATGGTAAAGTTAGCAAATGAAGAAGCTGAAAGCAATTGAAGGGCATATATTTATTTTTTTTACAATACCTTATTACTTTGTTTGACCTGAGTAGAAGTACAAATAAAAGTTGACATCTTAAAATGTAGATAACCCTATATCATTCAAGGATACAGTTCAGCAATTTGTCTGTTATCAGGTTCAACCAGTTGTCGTAAAATCAAAAGTGCTTTCTGGTAGTCACTGAGTGAAGATTCAATATCCTCTAAATGGAGCATAAAGAGATTATTAGAGCAGATATGTAGTAAAAATTAGCACAGATAAAAAGGCAACAGAAATTTCCACATAGGGGGAAATATTAGATCGTAATTGAAATCAACAAGTAGCCGACCTCTTTCCAAGGCAACTTCTGCAAGGGCTGCTAGTATGTCCACTTTCTCCAGTGTGTCACTGACATGCTGTTTTTCTGCAATAGCCCTAGCAACATCTAGCATTTTCCATGCCAAATCCAAGTCAGACTCATCTTCATCTGCTTCAGCCACATCATCACCATCACTGCTGCCCTCATCTTCTTCCTCACCCTTCCCACCTATAACAAATAATAGTTAACAGTTTGTTTTATAAGACAATAGAAGCAATGATGATTGAAATAATGCTACTATAACAGGCATGATTTATTCAAGTAAGTGTTGCATTCATGATTCAATGATGGTGCCATATCTAATAAACTTTGGAGTGAACTAGGTTTGTTCCATCCATACCAGCATCTCCCTACATGTAAAACCATCTTTTTCGAAGAGCCTTACAACAAATGTCTTTATTTTACATGGTTGTTCTCTTAGGCCGTCATGAAAGAGTTTGTTTACAAGAAAGATTTGCAAAAAAATAAGGTTTGTGAATATAGGTTTGTCAAAGAACGCACATTCTTAGTTTTAATGAACCCTGACTACTGTCAGCCAGCAACTTATAGGCAGTTTTTAACAGCAATATACTAACCATCTTCTGTTGTGTCTTTGTGATGAGTTGAACTTCCCTCTTCTCCAGCCTTATTTGAAACTAAAGCAATGGAAGATTCACCATTTATGGTGCTCTTGACAGATACTTCTTTATCCAAGTTTTGCTGTCCTTCACTATCCTTCTTGGGAACAGAAACCAATGGATCAGCTTCCTCTTGAGCTTTGTACAACAGTGCACGTCCATATTGATAGTATGCATTGAGACATTCAAGTGCAAGTTCGCCATAATGTGCAACCCTAATACAAGAGACTTGATCTTAAGATCAAAAACATTTATAAACAGAAAGGAAGACATCACTGCACCAAAAAAAAAAGGAACACATGACAGAGAGAGGTTCAGATGAGAATAACAAGCAAACTTTGAGATGATAATTTGGAAGGAGAAAATAAATTGTAACATCTTTAAGTACAAAGGCAATTTAGAAAAAATATCCTTAACTCTAGTATAAAGGAAATACAGCCTTTAACTAGAACTATTTTCAACATTCCTGAAGTCCTAATTGATTCAGCTACCGAGCATTATATCTTCTGAAAGAGTCTTCAAAGTTTTAAAACAGCATAAGAAATTAAGCAGGCAGACACATATGCAACCAGACAACAAGATGAAAGGCAGTGCAAACTACCATGGACATTGGACAGTAAACCAACCCAAAAATAAACAAAACAAACAGACAAGCAGCGCTACCAAATCAACCCAGGAAACTTGGGGCAGCTATTTAGACACTATCCCTTCAGATGGTACGTTACAAAGCTAGCCACTGGACGATGGTTCTGGACATTTTAAACAACTAATTGATAATTCAATCCAAGCTACACACATTGAGGAAAAACAAACATTAATATCATACAACCTTGAAGGAGGCACCAGACAGAACCTCACACTTCTCCAATGTACGTTAACATCTTTTAAAAAAAATTTTTAAGGACGTTACCAGGAGATTTCAAACCCTAAGTTGTAAAATTTACTTTCATTTTCCACTATTTGAGTAGATAACAAACTGTAACTAAAAATTCGAAAGAAACAACTAAGAAAGAGAAGAATCAAAAGCTAAAACCATACCTGATCTCAAGGCAACGGCTAAAGCACTCAGCAGCTTCCGCATAATCATTTCCTTTAAAAGCCTTGGAGCCTCTGTCCGCCAACTCATCCGCGAACTCCAGCGTCTTCTCTCGATCAGCATCAGAAGCGACAGCAGAACTTTCAGCATTATTGTTGTTGTTGTGGTAGGTGGACTCAGTACCTCCCTGAGCTTCAGATTCAATTGTCGCCTCGATTGAGGTTTGCGTTTCTAGGGTTTCAACCTTCGGAGCTTCCTCCGTCACTGACCCCGTCGGAGCTTCTTCTTCGACCATGGCTTTTGCTTTGCTAGCTCTACCGGAGAAAATAGAGAAAATGCGACGCGTGGAAACTGGGGCTCTTTGTACTCTCCTTCTGCAAAACCCTTTCTGGCGGAAAAAAAATGGAGCGCGCTATTTTAATATAAGGAAACAAAGAGCAAAACGACATCGTTTTATCGCGAATGAAGATATTGGCAATTTTTTTAATTAAATTCAGATAATGGAAGAAAGAAAAACCTATCGGAATCACACGATTTGATTCGATTCGAAGATGAGCTTCTCAAGCATCAGTAAAGGAGCCATGGCTTCCACATGTTCGCCGCCGGTACTGCAAGTTCTCTCAGTACGCTGCCAGCGCAATGCACAGCCGTGCTCGTTGAAACCGGAGTCTACTAAACCTTCGCCGGTGATCGGCACGAACAGACGGCAGCTGCTTTTTTTGGTGACGGCGGCGACAGCGCTGACGGCAAAAGAATCGGGTTCAAATGCAGAGGATATCCCGTTGTTTGGCCTGAGGAAGAAGCTAAGAAGCGCAGAGGAGGAGGCGGTGGAAATCGTGAAGGAAGGGTTCGAAGCAGCGGAGAAGGGGCTGGTGACAGCAGAGCGAGGGATAAAAACAGTGGAGAGAGGGATCGAAAGTGCGGAGAAGGGGCTGGAATCAGCGGAGAAAGGAGTGGAAGCGGCGGTGAGTTTTGGAGGGCTAGCGCAGGCTGGAGTGGTGGCGGGAGCGGAGGTACTTGGAGTAGTGGTGGCTACTTCGGTTGTGAACGGAATTTTGGGGCCAGAAAGCTAGAAATCTTTTGAGTGCTGAAATTTCGTCTCTATATTGTATTTTTATGTATCATATTCTCATTCTAGTTAATGAAGTTGTTCTTCATTTCAAGACCAGTGGCTAGTTTTGCTTTTGCTTATTATATTAAATCAAAGTACTCTATCTCAAGCTTAAGCTTGGAACCTAACAATCAAGCTCTTGTGCTTAAGCAACAACTAAATTGTTGGAAATTGAAAGGCCCTTATGTTTGATTTTGTGGAATCTTTTTGAATCTTTATTTTTGGTTTGAAGGAAATGTAAAAGAGAAGAGGAGAAAGATGAATTTTTTTTTATTAATTATATTATTATATTTAAAGTTATTGTAATTTTTTATTAGTAAAAAGCTCTTTCCAACCATTCCAAAAGATTTGCCAACTACTTACTGAATACTACCTAATTTGATTCGCAATGGACAAGGGCATAGTGGTGATCCATCAGAGGCTATACAAAATTACAAATAGCCTATTGGATTCCAACAATGTGTCATCCCTCATTTCCCACTCTCACACTTTTCAGACCGTTTGTGAAAACCTTTTTTCAAAGTTGCTTTTTCAGTAAAAGTTTTTTTTATTTTTTTTTATTTTTTATTGAGTTTGAATCTATCTTTTAATAAAATAATACCAAAATAGCTAGTTTTGAAGGAAGCATTAGCTTGTTACTTTTGTTAAAATTTGCTTATAAGTACCTTTTCTTTTAAAAATTTAGTTTTTCGTCTATATTTTTGAAAACTTTGGTAAAAAAGCAACTTTAGAAAAAGTTTTTTCATACGGACTATTTACATTTGCAACAAAACAAAGTAGTTGCCCTTTTTATTTTGGTTTGTATAGAGGAAGCTTTCTCATCTCATGCTCTCTAAAAGCTCTTATGCTGCCAATAAGATGTAATTTGATGCCAAGTGAGATGTGATTGTTTCACTTTATTATTCTCATAAGCATGAAATTGAAAACCATGGAATGCTAGTCATTCCCATTACTTCTCGTCTGACATTAATTTTCAGAAGAAAATCATTTTCTACAAAAGCCAAAAGAAATACTAATAATAATAATAATGGTGATTCTCGTGAAGGATCCTTAAAGAGAAGAAACAAAGTTTCTGAAGTCATCATCTTAAAATAATAGTGTGTTGTACCGCTTATGGGTCCTGCAATAATTTGAATTCTTCCAATCTTTTTCTTCGGATGAATTAAATATCTTAGTGGACCTGATGGTTTTACCTACTATTATAATATCTTCTTGTGTTGGAGATCAATTATCAACTTATAAAATAGGTTTTCAGTTCGAACTGACTAATTTTAATTTTAATGTTAGTTTGTATTGAACAAAAGGTTTTTTGAAACTTGAAAGAAATTTAATTAAATGCTAATTAACCTTGTTGAAACTGATCACAATCTTTAATATGGATAGAGAAATTTCTCGTCAAACATAAAACAGAATTGCGGATTCAGTGATTACAAATTCCTTAAAGACGGTTGAATTTCTGCAGGTCCTGTAAATTTACCGCCGTGATCCTTCATCTAATTAATGACCCCAGAAACCAAAGGTTTCAGCTTTCAGGGGCAGGAGAAAGCATCGGTCAGCTCCAACCACTTTTGCTCCCAATTAGTGTTCCCTGTGCCACCTGCCATAGCATGCAAAGCGGTCCTGACTTTGTTCAAGCTCTTGTGGTGACGGATGCGTCTGAGGACGGCTTCTTTGTCCAGTGCTTCAGGTGAGGAGCTCGCCGAGGATTTCAAGCAGAGGTGGCTGGTGATGGGACTCAACGTTTGAACATCTTCACCCTCTTTTGACCCCTGCTTCATTACATTCATGGCCTTCTCCTCCGTCTCTAAGAAAGAAGGCTCATGAGCTTTGGACACCGTGAAAGCCATTCTGAGTGAGGAAATCAGGGCGTCTGGAGATTGGAGATATAGAGAGGAGAGTGGAAGTGGCATATGGGGTGAGACCGTGAGAGATCTTTATTATAGGGAAACGAAGTGGCTTTGGAAGCGGTTTTTGGTCATTTACTTGTTTTTGTTGTGTTGCTGGCGATTGTATATATTTTTTTAAAATGTTGTGGATTTTGCTGAGTGGAGCCAAGTTTCAAGCTGACGATGTCTTGTTGTTGGCTGGGCAATTCATGGCTGCCACTGGCTACAGCGGCATGGAACAAGCCATGACCCTTTTGTTACTCTTGGTTATTGTTTTAAGAGTTTTATATAAACCAATGATGATCAAAAGAAAAAAAAAAAAAGGGTTTGAGGCATCTTTTTATCATAAATATATAAAAAAATTATAAAAATTATATTAATTTTAATATTAGTTTAAAGTGAAGAATTTTAATTGAAATACTGATGAATTAAAAATTAACTTTTATTGACTATATATTTATTAGTTAAAGCACATGTTAAAGACCCAAAAAAAAAAAAAAAAACTAGAATTAAAAATTTATCTATATCAACTAACTCTTAACTAATGTTGTATTTCCCTTTACATGATACTTTTATATATATCATATAAATGATAATTAATTTTTTTTATTTCAAAATATAATTTTTGTCAAGTAATTTCATGTGATTAAAAAAATTTTCTATTGTTAATTCATATATTATATAGATACATTACTTAAAGTTACGTACATGATTAATTATAAGAATTAATTATATAAACAAATAAATAAGAAACAAAATGTTTAAGAAACAAAATCATGTACATCAAAATGTATATGGATTCAGTAAGAATTGAGCTCTTAATCTGCGGAAAATGGTCTACCTAATTTCCTCAAGACTCACCGCATTTAAGACCAAGCAAGTTTACTGGGGTGGGAACTAGGAAGTCATTTAAATTTTAAGCAGCGAAAATGGGAACTAGGGGTGTCTTTTTCAAACGCATGGAGTAATAGATTCCCGAGACATACGGATCCAGGGGCCACTTCAGCAGAATTCACTCCGAACCGAAGACTATTGGACGACCTTATCCGCATCGATTTACACGTTTAAGTCCCATACAATTTACAAATATCTTGCATCAAATATCTTGCATCAAATATCTTGCATCAGAATTTCAATCAATACCCAAAAAAAAAAAAAAAAAAAAAAAAAAAAACAACAACAACAACAATAACTAGTACTACTACTACTTTACAAGTTTCATATCTGCATGCGGCATGTGACTCCTAACCAAACGGTTTAACTAAAGCAATACAGATAATACTTCAAAAACCATACAGAGAAGGCTCCTTAATTATCATTTTTGTCAATGTAACTCAAGATGAAACCACTTACAATTCTCCGCGCTATGGGATTAGGGATAGAGCGACATAACCTTCCATCAATATATGCTAGTATGCCTGACAAAACAAATTTAGTGAAACCCCATTTCCAACTAAACTTTTGCTTCTGCTCTTCTTCAGCCTTTGCTGGGACAACTGCTTTTAGAGCATCACCTACTGGCAACTTCCACTTGATCTTTGGTAAGAACTTGCTAGCTTGCTTCCTCAACATGCGGATTGCAAAACTCACGAAAAGGTGTTCGCATAATGTCACAATAGTTGGTCCGATTTTCCATTCCTGGAGTATGTTCTCCTGATTAGTATTTACTTAATGGACTTGGAGGGTAAACTTAAATTGTAATAGACTTACACTCTCTCCTTGAAGGTGTCGCAAGGGACGAGAAGTTGCTGAAGGATCTCCTTTTAACAATGCCTTGCTTATAAGAAATCCCTTCACACGATCCATGATCTCATCAATTAGGGAACTGTTTGGAGGTAGATTTTTAATAATAACCTAAATGCAGAAAAAAAGTCAGTGACAGCACAGCATTGTCTGAAATACATTCATCAAGTCAAAATGTGGAATAGAATGAAGCAGCTGGATTTTCGAATATGTTGAGCTGTATTGGAAATGATAGGTAAAACTAAAATAACATTTGGTTAGCCAAGCATTGTCCCTAAAAGCGAGGCATCACATGCTAAGATGTGAATTTTGAACAGCCAAATGATATATGATGTAAGATATATTAAAATCAATCTAAGAATTGTAAGGTAATTATAACCAATTTATAAATCATGGAAATGGAATCCCATAATGGGCGATTTAGTCCTGCCATTTAGCATTTTCTGGCAGAACTGACAGTCCTCATAACTTAAGTCTGCTTCAAGACCTTTCTCTCCTTTTTTCGGTAAATAAATTTTGTAAGAAGGGTTTTGCATGCTTCCATAAAATTTAAAATAAGATTAAAGTATCCAGCATATGACATCAGGTGATTAGGTTTTGATTTTCAGGAAGAAGTAAACTCAGCTTTTATAGCGGAGGAGCAAACTTTCCAGAGATTCTTTCACACAAGCCTGATCAAATAACTCTTTTACCTCCCCTCAAAGGTTACCTGATCATCAATCACTCTGACTCTAAGATATTCCTGTTTATAGATTGCATCCAACATAGCTTGCAAGTAGCCCTCAATATAAAGCTGCAGTCCCCAAAAATAAAATAAAATAAAATAAAATAAACCCTTATCAGTGAGGTTTAGGGCCAAAAAGGAAAAGCAAATAGCAAGTGGCTTCAGAATAATATAATATGGTGACAACAAAGGAAGGATTAGCTCACTGCAGGAATGAAATGACAGAAAGCAAATGGAAGAGTCTTTATCCAAACAGATTCCATTGAAATGGTCCCTAATATTCTACTGACAAACACTCTTTAGTTTTGAAGAAATCAGTTTTTGCAAACCAAATGGAGGGTCAGAAGCGAATTAAAAGTACTGTCTTCATCAATGAAATGAAGTATTTCAAAAGAATGAAATAGTGCAGTATATGTTCATCATCAAACTACTAATTATAGAGGTAACCTCATCAGCGCCAGGACTTCGATCAAGCTTGATTTTTCTATCTGGACCTCCCCCCATCAAAGCAGTACCCAATAGAGATGGTTCCATGGCCAATTTCAATATTCCTTGGTGGAAACCATTCACCTTTAGAACAATATGAGCAGTTAAAGTTCACTCTTACCAATTACAACAGTTTATAATAATTCTTAGATCATTGAGTTATAGGTAGAAAGTTAAGGGAAAAGCTATGAAATATGATACAAAAGAAGCATTCAGAATTAGAGATTAACACCATTCCATTGAAACCCCTTGCTTCTGCTCCCCTAAGAACAGAGTCTGATATTTCAGTGACAACAGCAAAGACTACATTTGATCCTGCTGTTCTCAGCTGCAAATTCACCACTTGATTAGGATAGGCAAGTACAATTGAGAAAGTGTCATCAGAATTTGGTACAAGATAAAACTCACAGTTTTTCCGAGATCACCAAAGTAACGTTTTGTCCCTGAGAACCCATTACCATCAATACATTTACTAATGAATTTTAAAGTACCTGTGAAGAATCGTGAGAGGCTCAGTGCAGCAGCTAAATATCTCAACCAAGAAAATAATCTTAATAAGGGTTTCCCAACTAAAAAGACAGCATAAATCTGATCTGAGGCAGTGTTAGTTTCTAATGTAAAAAACCTGGCTATCCTGAATGATTTTCTATCTATAATTGCTATATGCTTTCTCATTTTTCTTCCTCAATATGGCAACTCAAAATAAAAATCTCCAACTTCAGGGGTGTCATTCATGATCAAAGAACCCAATACACAACTGTTTTGTATGGCCAAATGAACATAGAAAACAAGGAACCTAATACATGAAGCAACATACCTATTGTGAGACCTGGAATACTCATCAATCCTCGAGAAGGATCAAAGAAGACATCAAGAGAGGATGAAGCCAGGTCATCAAAAATAGATGCAAAAGTTGGGGGAAGCAATGCACTTCCTTTTGCAATATAGATGGCCCTCATAGCATACCTTTTTAATTTCATATCAGATTAGGGTACATAAAATCAAGCGATAATAGTAAGTGAAGAAAAAACACAAGGCTTACCATGAATAATGTTGCGCACATCGAATGAACAATTCTCGGATTGTTATCAAAGCATGAGTAACCAGGACTCCATTTAGCTCTACAACCATGTTTTTAATAGAAGGAACCTACAGAAGAGAATGAGAAGAAGGGGGGAAGATAAAAAGTAAAAGATCTTCAGCATGCACGAGCCATGATTATGCGCTTGGGTTTTTATATGGTCAAAATTAGTCAGGAACATATTAATGAAGAGTGTATGTCTTACCTTTACCACACTGTGCAGTAGTGATCTCAGAGTCTCCTGGGCTGAATTATAACTTGAATAGGACTCCCCAGGAAGAAAATTAGCAATAATCTGCGAATACAGATCAATTTGAATGACACATCTTGCATTACTCAACACACAAAATTTCTATAAGCAAAAGAACATACCTTAATTGGGTGGATCTCAAAATGATCAAAGTAAAACTGTGTACTCTGAGTATTTGAGTTAAGAGATGCTCTCCAAAATGTGACAATTTTCATCAAAGTATCCTCATCAACATTCAGATCAAGAGGCTGCGGTAGGAGACTTACAAAATTAGAGCTAATGAAGACACAAATACATGGGTGTACGATGCTTTCAATATAGGTCATATATCAGTAATTCCTACAGTTTTCACTACCCAAAACACAAAATAGATGCATGTATGATGCTTGATTATACCTGCAGAATAACAGTTGAATATTTAACTTGTTTAACATCAGAAACTGGTGAGAGCAGGACGACAAAAATTTTGAGGTCACAATCATTTGCATCACTGGAGTCTAACTGATGTCTACGGAGCATTGCTGCAAATGGAGATCCTGCCCACTTCACATCTACATTCAATGACTGCATTGATCAATAAATCACAGTGCTATCAATATTCTAGCTCTGAAGAAGCATTGCCAGATTTACAAGTAAGCATTCCAGAAGAAGAAAATGAAAAAACCAGCAGAGAGAAATTTGTCTTAAGGCAATAAACATATTTAATAATTTTACCTGTATATCTATCCTGTTATACTTCTTCTGACCAGTAAACACGGTATCAAAAGTGATATTCTGAAGCCTTGCAACTACAACTGGCATGTACAATGATCCCATGCTGTGATTTAAATCCTGGAGATAATTACAAACATTCAATGAAGAGCATTTTTTTAAACAAGTTCCAAGCTCAAGTTATCATTTAAATCATAAAAAAAAGGGTTCATATATGTTGGTCCCCCAATCAGTGGTGGAGCTATCTGCAAGGATCAAAGACATCTACATCCTTTTGTTTGGCTCCATTGTATTCACCATCTTATAGAATTGTTGGTTTCTTTCTAGTTAAGTTTACACATAGACACAGATAAGTGACAAGATAGCTTAAAAATTCAACAGGGCTTCATAACTCACAACTAGAAGTCAAATATAATTCACGATTCCTTCCATAAAGGTCAGGAAAAGACATCCAAGTAAGGAAAAGACTTTAAATATGAAACTTTCCAAATTTCAATGATTGAAAATTTCTTTTCATTAACTTCACATAGATACCAAGCAGGGAGAAAGCTATCGTCATAAGAGAAGAAGGGTTGAGACTGACCTGTTTGCCTTGTTCAAGCATGTGGACAGCAAACTGGGACACTCTTAGTTGTAACTTTGAGGATGAGTGGACAGCTTTTTCTCTCTTATGACTTTCTGAAAGCCCACAAATCCGTAAAACCCGTGTAGATCCTTCCGCATATACCTCATAACCCACCTTCAATTCACCAAAGTGTCTTTTCTGGTCTTTGGTATTTTTGTCCAAATGTAAATGAGATGCCAACCCTTTATGTTGCATAAGTTTATAAAAGGGTTTCCAAGTTCGCACCTTGTCCAAGTTGATTTCACGTAACAAATTCATACCTGCAAGGAAAATCAATAAAGATATAGTTTCAAAAACACTTTTTTTTAAAAAAAAAAAAACTTTTTAATTGATTTCATCTACCATATTCTCTGTGTGACGAGAAATATTCAGGTAGGAGACATTCCTGTAAATGCAACAAACTACTTTTTCTTTTTTTTTTTTTCTTCTTTGCCATGCAGAAATTTCCATGCAACCTACACACCTGAAAATTACCCTAGAATGACAGGCTGTAGCAGATAAAAACTTACTTCCCGTCAATGCTGTACAGAGAAAATAGATAACTTCCAATATTTTTCCAGACAAAAATAGATATCACAAGGAATAATACACTCCTGAGTTAAATAAGCAGTCCAGAGGAAAAAAGTTAAGAACATATGGCAATAAGCATGGCTGAAATAGAGTTCAGATTTATGAGAAGGGAAGAAGGTCTCTGCATATCAAATACCTTGAGTGGACATGCAAATTAGGCATTTTATTTCAAATATGTAGAGGACTTCATGCAAAATAGACGATTAGACATGCATGTGGTGATTCTAAGTGACACATTTACTGACAAATGTACAAGTTGGTACTACAATGTCATAAAAAATGCCACCTTCAGATGATTCATAAATACATTCACTGTTTCAGAAAAAAAAAAAATGATGAATCTATGAATTTTTTTGTGTGCAAGCACCGCATCTTGATGACGGATTGGACACTAATTATCCAACAGTCAAGAACAAAATAAAACAAATTGCCATAAAATTATTATGCAAGTATAAAGTAATATTAAATAGTGCTTACCATTGATTATAACAAGAAGTTTATGTGGAAGAGTCAAATCATCCCAAACATAGTCAACACTACATCCAGATCCAAGAACTTCATCCACTGACGAATCCTAAGAGATTCTCCAAAAAGATCAAAGTAGAAAATATGAGCACACATAATCATTTCAAACTTTCAAAAGAACATCACTTAGATTAACAAACCTTTTGAGAGTAAGACAGAGATAAGCCATGTAGGTAATTTTCAATCCTATAAGGTAAACTGCCATCTGGTGGTTTGTGGAACTGCACAACAATTGTAGAGCCATCTTCTACCACATCAACAGCTGCAAGTTCAGTTTCCTTACTGGTTCTTGATGCCACTTGATTTGATTGTTTTCGAAATTTTAGAAAAAAGCGTCCAAGAGAATTGATGCACAATGGTCCTGACCAGCCAAATTGGGATTCATTCAATTGAAATTGGATAAATATTCGTGAGTCATCACAATCATTTCTGTGCCTTCTGATAAAATTCTCAAATGGACCATATTCACTCCTCTTGCTAATTTCTTTCTGCAACTTTAGTGTTCTTCTCTGTTTACTGTTGATGTAAGTTATGCCGGCCATGTCATCCTTTCAGGAACCAAAACGAAAGGGTGAGAACAAACAGAGCAAAAGGGACAACCAAACCCAAGTTGACAGACACAAACCTCCAAATTACATTGACGAACAGTGATATTTTCCTCTGACTCGTTCAGGATAACATGCCTTGGAACCATGGTAATTATTTGTGATGGCACATCAATGTTACTTGAGGATGGCCCTACAGACACCCCAAACTTTATAATGTATTTGACTCCAGATCCTTCCTCAATTTCCAAACTTATCTCTGTGGAGCCAGATAAAGCAGCTAGATCAAATAATGCCTCAGATGCATGACCCTCTACAACTTTAAGCCGCACCTTGTAGGATCTGCCAATAAATAGCATAAAAAGTGCATGGCCAATGTAAAAACCCTTTTAGTCATCCATGAATGTTCAGACTCTAGTATAGCTGTTTCAAATATACTATTCTTACTTTAAAAACCATGATCCAGTTGACTTCGGGGGCAAAAATAAACCTAATTCTGGAGGAATGTGGGTGCCCAATTTCCCTATTTCATTCCTGCAATTATTTAAGGTCATCAGGTGTGTAAGGACAAATATAAGACAAACCTCAAAGAATTATATGAACCAGTTTCAAAAGGCAGTTGTTACCTAGATGGAAGCTTCTGATTTGCAGCAAAGAAGAACAGAGAAAAATCTGAATCGTTCTTCAGTGCATATGATGCATAAATAGTGGCCTGCAAGCAAATCTAAGTTTAGAAGTCTTGATAAAAAATTTTTGAAGTCCACAAGGAGCTGGAACTTAGGCAATGTGAAATACCAAACATAATTAAAAAATTCAAATGTGGAAGTAGACACACCATTGCATACCTCCAATATGCCTCTGTATCCACGGGACAATCTTAAGGATGCAACATATTTTCCACCTCCAAAATCCAGATCAATATCCAAGCAATGAACATCATGCTTATGCTTAAGTAACTTCCTGATCAATTCACTGCTGTTCACTGGTTTACAGCTGGAACTGAAAGCAGTTAAAGTGACAGAAAAGTATATTACAGCGGGATTAGCATAAAAATCAACAGTTGATCCACAAGGTATGGTTGCCTCCTTCCCAATATTGTTACAGCCAGTAGGACTATGTAAATCTGCTGGAAGATGGAAGTTGTAAGAGTACTATACTAAAAAAGTCTTACTCCAAAATCCAAATATGTGTTCATCTTACTTGTTTCAGATAAAAGCACATGTATTTCCAAGTTCAGCAAATTGGACACCCGCACTGTAGGGAGTAGAAAAATTTCCTTCTGCTCTTGCAAGGCAATTGGTGCATTTCTATTTTCATCAGGTTGAGTAATTGGCACTTCTCTTCCAATGCTTTGAATCAGAAAGTGCATGTCAAAAACATGTGCATCTGAAGATCTAAGGGTACAATGACTGGTGCTAAAGGAGCATTTCAGTGATCCAACATGTAAAGCCTTTCGGACTTCATAGCCCAACTTATCAAAAATTCCAGACAGACGGACTGCTTTTCCACCTTTAAGTTCATCCGACCATTCCACGAAAAGAGGACCACTGGAATTCATTAAGCTTGGTATTTCAGGTCTAAAAGAAAACAAGAAGTTGCCTGCAGGTTATCATCAACTGCATCAAGTCAGGAGATTTCAAAAGGGAAACAAAAGTGCCTATGATTCAAACAGGGAGAATGATCATAAAATGAAATCTCTTTCAAACAAAGAATGATGCAGAATTGAAGAGCCTAGTTGTGAGCTAAAATAATGAAAATTTCAAGCCCTCTATCCTCACACCCACTACTGATTGCAGTATTCTAAGCTGATAATCCACTCCACAACACTTGAACAAGGATGCTAATAAAAAGGAAGATGATCAAGAATCATACAAAATAGAAGAAAGATGAAAAATTATACTGAAAAAATAAAGTTATCAAAGCATACCGACAGTCAACGATATTAATGCTTTCTTTAATCCACCAAATAAATTTATAGCGTCAAATGATGCCACAGAATCATCAATTGTATCCCCAGTCTTAAGTGTCACAGATGCAAACTCATTTTCCTTTTCTTGAGGTCTTCTAAATCGTAGCTCAATAGGGAGTTGCGTTTCATTATGTATTCTTACAAAGGGAGAAACCACAATTGACAAGCCATCCTACAAGTTAACATCGTCATCACAAATTCAGGAAAGAAAAAGCAATAGACATTACAACAAATGTGAGCAAACGAATGTGTTCTTTTCATGGAAATGTGGGCATGCAGTATGTGCATCATGTATGTCAGTATGCCTATTAAAATAGATATAATTCTTAAAATTCAGGAGTGAAAACTAATTTTAGGAAATACCTCTGATTTTCTTGAAATGTCAACCACAATAAATGGCCCAGGGTAAGTTCTTGAATCTGTTCAAGATGAGGACAGGGGGTTTTGGAAAAGAGAGGAGGGGAAGAAAATATACAGGATAAGCTTAACCAATGCAGAAAAGTTAAAATTCATAACAATTTCCAAGACCAATCAGTTTTTGCTGGCAGGAAGCAAGTATAACCAGTCAATCGATTCATTACTACAAATAAACAATTACAACCTACAACTCAAGGATGTTGATCTTAATCTCTCCTGGTTAATGATTTTTGAACAATCTCCTTGAGCTGTGCCATCTTGATTCTATCTCCATCTTTAAATTGAGTATGTGGGCTTCAACACATAGGTGGAGTAGTTCTTCTTGTCTATAACCCACCTACTTTTTTATTATATACTCAATGTGGGCACTCAACACCATCTTAGCACCATCTTAGGGCACATCTGCTATTTTGGCCACTTTTACATGTTTCTGATAATTTTCAACTCAAACAAGGCCATAGGAAGAGAATATGATCTACTCCAATTATCTAAAACTAGAATCATACTGATGTTAATTTCCATTAATTATAAGATGGTTTAAAAAGGAACCCTCAAATTCCATGTATTGCCAACTAATGGAAAAGGCAAAGCTTCTTATAAAGATAAGCCCACTATGTCCCTTGTTTAGACCTACCGGTAAACTACACTTTGATGGATACATTTGTTGGAAATTATTTGTAAACCGTTGCATATCCTTCTTCAACAAATGCTTAATTCTAACATAGGTCTATAGAAGCCACACTATATAAGAGCATTTAATGTGAGCATTTAAAAGCCTTTCATGATTTGCATGAGAAGGTGGGACCATAAAAGATTAACATACCTTGAAGTGAAACTATACGTGTTCTCCATGCAAATGTACAAGCCTCTCGAATAGAAAATTGGACAGGAGAAGTTGCAAAAGAGTCAGGAATAGACAGCTGGATTGAAACAACTGACATAATTTCCTGCTGTTGATTTCCTAAAGCTGGGTGCCTTAAAATTATGACAATGATTGAGAATAATGAATCAGTCAAAATGTGTACCTCAACAGGCTTAGTGTTAGGACAAGTATACATATATGTAGTCATGCGTGTGACCATGTGTACAACCTATATAAGTTTAAAAGCACCATAAAAAAACAAAAAGGTTGAATTTGTAATAACAGCTTAAGTCTAGGAACCAACAGGAGCTTTTGCTGACAAACAAGACCCCACTTACATCTTTACTCTATAGATAATAGTTTTCCAAAAAATCATGCTACTTTGTTATGCATCAAACCTTATCAATACTGAGGATTTTCTGATAATCAATTACACTCTAGGAATTGGGAAGCAAATCTAACTCCCCTATGACCACAATGGATCATAAGAGTGAAACTGAAATCCAAGAGATCAAGGTCCCTGTCCTATATTTCTATACTCCATCCCTTGTCATTTCTAATTTACTTTCAAAATTATCACATACAAATAGGTAATTAAACATTAAGGATCATTGACGACTGCAGCCAAAAATAGCATGAACAACAAAAATATCTAGTTTGTAGGAGATAAAAAGTAATTTTCCCAGGCATTTAAAACTTTAATTCACAAAATTAGAATGGAAAGTGTTCTAGTATTTCTATATGATTAGAAACTGAAAGTTTGAAACATCAGATGAATGCAAGATAATCTCCAACAAGTTTGCTAAGAACCCACTTCCATTCTAAAACCAAGCTAATATAAAGAAGAAAAATGAATTTCCAAAGCCAATAGCTGTACTTCACTAAAACACATATAAAACCTTTTCAGAGAAATAGAGATGTCTAGCCAGTCCATCTCATTAAGGTACCTTAAAAATATGGAGACAGACTGCTTTCCACCTAGTGTTACATTTTGCTCACCATAGAATTTACAATTAAGGTTCATACCCGTTTGGTTTTCAACCTGCCATAACAAAAATGGTTATAATTGGGTAAATACCAGATTCAGGAAAAGAATGGAATTAATCCAGGTTTGTCCAAACTCAGATGTTATTTGCCTTAAAATGCAAAAGAAGAAGACAAGATAAAGTCTCCTATCCAATGTCCAACAAAATCCAAGCAACTGGATTCAAAATAATGAATCAGGATCAGATTTAATACTGATACGGCAACCCATACTAATTAGACTGTGAATTAAATCATCAAACCTATGCAACATTATGAATCCTGTGATCCCAAGAAATGGTACCATTATACCATATAGTTTTACCTTAATTTCATCTCTGGATATGCCTCAAAATAAATTTTCCATAAAGATATCAGAGCATGATGAATTAATCCCAAATGAATCTTGCTACATTGGTGAAGATACTTAAGGGAGAGCAAATGACAGGGGAAAACAACTTACAATGTTAAAATGACTTGATTAACCTAGAATGCTGGCAATAAATGCTTACAAGAATACATAAAACATGATCCATACTATTTGTTTTAAAGTTCAAAAGAAGCAGACAAGACACAATTCCCTATCCAATTTCCAACAAATTTCTAGAAACCAGATCTAAATCAATGAATCAGTGTCAGATTTAACAGTGGTACCACCATTCATATCAAACTGTGAATTGAACTGTCAGATAAATGACATTATGATCCCTGTGATCGCAAGGAAGAGAAACATATTTATACACCCAAATTTCATGATTGAATATGACTCAAAATAAATTTCCAATCAGATATCAGAGAATGACATATCAATCCCTAATTAATATTGTTTGGACGATGAGGCAGACCAAAGAGGGAGACAATGATAAAGGGAAAATGATTTCTGATGTTAAAATGACAAGATTGATCCAGAATGCATGCACATAAATGCATATGATCTTATATATCAGGCAATAATCTTATACATCGTATACTCAGATTGACATGCACATATACAAGTGTTCAAGCACAGGCACAGGTGCCCCACAAAAACGTTATAGAAGCAAATCAGGTAATAAAAGTATGAGGAAAAGAACCTTGCAACAGTCAGCAAAAATCATGGAGCTTTTCACTGAAAATGGGCCAGCCAAATTTAATTTTCCAATTGTGAAAAGAAGCATGTCCAAAGAAAGCTCAGTTAGAGATATCTTCAACTGCCAGAATGTCGGAACACAAGTTGTTAAGAATATTGCTAGTAATAAAAGGAGTCCCCCAAAAATATCATCTGGGAAACAAAATCCCAACCTCCTTAGTCCTGCAGTACATATTAACAGGAACTCCATGCAAAATTGCTTCTGGACTCTGTTTCTGGCAACTAGAACGATAAAAGATACACATCTCAACTGGATAAAGAAGTTCTCTCCTAAAATTCCAAAAACAAAAGGGAAAATTAATGAGATAACTCTTCCAGGGAATTAATTTTGGGAAAAGGAAATTAAAATGAAAAAAACAAAATTAGCTGTTTGGTGATATGACACCCACCATAAACTTATCTGGGTATCAAAGTAATTTAGCAAAGCTTTTGATGTGCTTATAACCCTGGTTTTAGAGGATAGAATTTGTAAATTGAGTTGGAAATCAGTTACACAAGCTTGAAAGAGAGGAAACCTGTCCTTTGCATCTGAAAGTTCATGCACAATGGTCAGAGCAACATATTCAATTGTGATAGCAATGGAAGAAAGATTTCTGCGTTGCCCATAAGTTATCCCTCTATCTTCATCTGCCCTATTAGGCATGTCAATACCAGACAAATTACTAGACCTATGGTTTGCCACAACATCATGAAGAACAGAGAGGTTGCTTAAGACTTTTAACTTGAATGGCTTTCCTGGCTTCCTAACAAACTCTGGAATATCATCTATAAATGCAACACCAGAGTCATTCTTCTTATTCACAAGGTAAAAGGTATTTTTAAGTAATTGATTGTAAGGCTCCCAGTCAATGTCGCCCTTGTAACTCTCTGGCTCACAAGAAAGAGTTCTCCAAAGTGCCTGTGCATTATCAGCAGTGCTGGAGATTGCAACAAACCCAGATCCTGGATGACAATTTATTCGCAATGGTTCCCCTGAATTATTCTTTGCATGCAATGATATTAAGGAGAACCACAAAATTGATGAGTTCCATTTCCTCTGAACGTGGTACTTGACCTGCACATAGCATAGTTATAATATATACTCTATTACCATCAAATATAAGGAAGCATTGCATAACTGAAATTAAAAAATCAATAAACCCACTTGATTAAGGGCGAATGGGTTATCAATATAACAATAATTCATAAAATCACACTTCTACCTCATCAAAATAAAAAAGAGAAAAAGAAAGATTCCTTCTTAAAAATATAAAGAAAGAAAGAGATTCTAAAAAATTAACAATAAAACTATGATGAAGAATATACTTTCTATGGTCTGATTTAGTTGTTCCACTTTATCCATTCATGATTGTGGAGAAACCTCATTTAATACAATAATTGGAACTTATCTTTCCATTTTTACCCTTCAACACAATTAAACAAAAAGAACTCTTTATGCTATCTATATTTAGCAATAAGGTCAAATTAGAATAGTAATATTTAGTGCCTTTTTAAAATGGAAAATAGCACAATTAATTTAGACCACCTTTATTTAGTAAAAGGAGACAACTAAATCACATTGGAGGGAATATACTATGCTGTAGTGTTAAAAGGTAAATGTAAAACTAGCTAAAAGCCCAAAAAAAAAAAAAAAAAAGCTACCAAGAAACTAGAGATATTTGGATCTTAAAATTATATTGTTTTAGGACAAAGCATCTATGATTTACATCAATATCACTAGAGTTAATATTCCCAGCAAATACAAATAGAAATAAGTGTTCTATGATTTAGAAATCCAGGATTTTAACAAGGAATATAAGTGATAATGGTATAGAATTTCATACCCTGAAGAGAGCTCTTTCTCCCACAAGGGAATAATGAAGTGCACCAGCTAGAGTGTACTTATTTTCTCCACCCTCAACTGTGAAGTACAAGTGCTGGTGGACATCTTGGATAGCAACAATTGCTCCTGAATATAAAATGTGTTAATCTTTGGTTCAATTTCCTTAGAAGAATTTTCAAGCAGGAGATTCAACCATTAACATTTAAGGGGGGAAAAATGTACCATTAGGAACAATAGACTCAAAACTGTTGTGAACTTCTTGGTTAATGGCCCCCTGCCTTTGCCCAGGGTCACTAGTTGGGTCTTTCCCAAATGTTGCAGAAAAGGCTGAAACCATGGACAAAAACATCTGCTACAACTAATCAGGTTTGTATGAACATGCTTTACATGGTATCAGAAAAAGTATCAGCTGAATGAGCTTTAAAAATGGGAAAGGCTAAATAATTCCCTACCTGTAGTTCAGAAAGTGAAATTACCATATCAAAGCCTGAAACACTACCACTGCCAACCCAAACATCATTCGGTTGCAGGGGACTATTGGGCTTTTCAGCTGAGACAGAAGCAACTAAATGTTTCAAGATATGGTCCTGGTAACTGATTTGGAAGTTTGCTGTAACTTCATCTGGGGAATCAGGACCTCTTGTGTGACTTTCATCAATTGGAGAACTCCTATTTCTATGCTGAAATGCTGCAGAGGACTCTCCAGATGCTAAACCAGATAAGAACTTGCTTGAAGTGGTGGAAGAGAAATGAAGAATTTGGATTTCATCTTCTGTACTTGCTTGAAGTACATGAGAAAAGATAGATAACCGTGAAAGCTCAAAAAAAAACTTCCTTCCCATATTTGCCAACTCAAGGTTCACTACAAGATCAACCTCCAGGATAAATTCCTGAATACCACCTGCTGAAGTGAACCAATTATTTGTATTTATACATGAAAATAATTGAAACATGTAAATAAAGATGTTAATTTACCAGATTCATCTTCAATTACAAGATCAAGAGAAAACTGAGACACATCTATGCTAAAAGCCTCCAGCACTCCCCATTTGGTTGGTTGAGATGTAACAGGAGTATGTTGAGCATGCTCTCCAGTAACATGATCATTATGATATTCAGCCTTTCCCTCACCCTTACTAGTTGGGAGCAAAATAGACAAGCTACTGGCTAGGCAATGATGATATGAGGCAAAACACTGCACAAGCATTGACAGGGCTGTTGTTTCAAGGCAAAGAAAACCTCCCTGCCCATCACATAGCTTCCCATTAGAAAACTTGGAAATTGAATGAGAGGAATCAGAATATCCACTCAAAAACTCAACAGCAGTCATGTCCTATTATTATAATGATAAAGCAAAAATTAAGTCCTAAAATAGATGGTACAAGCCACCAGAGAAGTAAGTTTACAGATACAATAGCACGTTAAAAACAAAATTAAAGATGAATATTAATAATCCATAATATTAGCACCTGGATCCTCCAAAAGATCTCCTGGAACTTTCCACCAAAAGAAAGTGATGACTGAAGCCCATTAAACTTTTCTGCACTGATCAGAGCATTCTTTACTGAACACTTAGTCACGAAAAAATCAGCTACTTCTATGTTTATGAGCATCCAATGACCGGGCATTGGTGCCTGGATATTTGAAGTGAAGCCCAACTTCTGACCAAAGCCATGAGACTGAAAACTTGACTGAGCCTCTCCCGTAAAAGGGGAATTCTCCACCATGCATGATGTATTACCGTCAAGATTACAACAATGAAGTGTCCCATTTGCACTACTTGAAGATGAGACATACAGAACAGGACTCAACCACAGAGTAAATTTGCAATGAGAAAGAGATACTTCATATAAGCAAATATGTGAACGTAGCAACAAGTTCTTAAGAACAGAGAGATCAAAACTTTTTTCTACACATTCTTGATATCTGATTATTGCAAACTGAACCTCAGATAACTCAATGAGAAGTTCCAATTTCCTTTCATCATAAGATGTCTCAAAACATATTAGATGAACAGAAATCCAAATGCCACAATCAGACATGTGCTGTAAAGCTGAATCTTTGCCTCTGGCAGCATCAGTGGTTACACTTCCTCCCTTATTGTTTATCCTAGAATTATGAAGCATAAAATCCACTGACCTTAGCTTAAAGATGCCATTAATTAAAAACACAGTGCCTTCACAAAACAAGGGCACCACTTCTGCAGTAGACTCTTCATTCTCAGGTTTCCCCCAGACCATATCTGGCTTCCTTGACATTGGGAAGGGTACATCACCAGCAGAACCAAAGCCATGAAAAGCATAAGATATTGCAGAAAGTAAACCAGCAAGAACCTAGAAGGAAGACATTTTCTTACAATGAATTAGTATCATATTAGCAAGCAGGTAATGAAAAATCATAAAAATGAATAAGAAAAAGAAATTGATAAAAAAAATAGTCTAGAGTCCAGACTACCATCAAACAAAACTTAAAAGAACGGTAAAATTATTTAATTACATATGGTAAAATTAGGTTTATCATATGTTTTGGAAAAATGAGTTGCATTATCCATACTTTAATGAAAAAGTTAATTGAATTATATAGTAATAGTAACATGCATGGGCCTTATATTGAAAAGTTATACCAATATGGATGTACAATGACCAGAGAAAATCACCAATATGCGTGAAACCCATATGTTGTAGTTTGAAGAGGATCTGTATTTGAATAGGTTGGGATACATTTGTGAGGAAAAAGAATATAAAGGTGAACCAATTTCTGTACCTAAAATTTTGGGTTTCCCTCTGTCCCATTTTAATGGTATTAGAAATGCTTACCCCAAAAGAAAAAGAGGGAGGTATGCATCCAGTATGACCAGACAAATCATAGCCCTCTTCACCAAATAGCATAATATAAAGATCTCACTAAATAAATAAATTACTCAAAGTTTGTCACCAAAATAGAGCCCAATAAGCATTTTCCAAGATCACAAATTCCAGACACAACAGAGAAAAATATTTGGTTTGGTATGTTTTCCCCAACATATGTACCATAAAGCTTGAAAATAATTGGCAGTTGCAATTTTGCAGAACCGAATGTGCTAAAGATAAACTTAGGCAATAACACATTCAAAATGCATGCCATCAAAGTTAATTTCATCATCATTGTGGAGAGTAGCAAATGAAAAACATCAAGGCCAAAAAGAATGTATGAAGAAAAGAAAGATAAATACTGACATCAGGTAATGTTAATTAATGTAACAATGAACATGGTTTAAAAAGAAAAAAAAAAAAATCAATAAGGGTAAAAGTTATTAGGCAATGGTAGAAGAAAAAAATACCTCAGAGAGAGCAGACAACTCATCCATGAATAATACTGCAGTCAATCCCATAGCCATCCCACAAAAAACTTCTGAGAAAGCAATAAAAGTACTGCTAAATGAGTGAGCAAACTTCCTGTTGCAGATAAAAAGTTCTTTGCCATCAGAAACTTTGCTCTAAATGAGAATACTGCCATAATCAAGCAGTTCTCCTATAGAATATTTTAAATAATCAAACAAATGCGTAAGAGTTTGAAAAGCACCATCAGAGAGAAATTTTAACATAAAAAATAAGGTCTAATAAATCATTGTAATTTTCTATAAAACCATATCAAGAACAATGAACTCTTAAATGTGAAATCTTTATGTTTAAAGCCTGACTAGTTTATTTGGTTAATCTACTTAAAATAGATTCAAAAAGAATGAGGAATCTTATTCCAATTAACCCATCCCATAAAAGTTTTTTATGGTAAGAATATTTTAGGTGGAGGAAATTAATTACACTCAGAGATAACTTTCAAAACCATATAAAATCAAATATACATTATAGGACCTGTTTCCAAAATTTTGGAGTTATTGAAAAAAATAACAACAGATCATGTACCATTGAAATAGCCTCTTTAAATGTTTCATGAGAGGGTAGATTAGTTCCAGCCAACCAAAAAAAAAAAAAAAAGTTCAGCTGTCATATCCATTTGCAGAGGACAAAAGACATGTGCCCCCTCTACTATATATGAAAATGACTTTAAAGTGCGTAAAATACTTTGATAAAATGCAAAGCAAGTTCAAAAAAATGAAGAAAAAGAGTCAAACAGAGCACAAAAAAGGATTTTATTGAGTATAATTTGAGCAAACATCAAAAGAAGCCTTTATTTTGAATCTGATGGGAATACGGTATCAAAATATTCAGACAAAAATACAAGCACAAAATCTTACCTTAAGGATGATAACCTGAAAGTTATTGGCTTCAAGGCAAAAATTTGATTGTGCTGGTTTTCTGCTACATTCTCAAAGTAACCATTTAAACCACTCATTCTCAAGTAAAAATAAAGGGACATCGATCCATGGGATGAATACTTTTCATTATCTGGTTTCGGAGTATCAATTTTCAGAGGCTCTGGCAGCCTAAGGCACTCTGTCTCACCTGATCCTAAGCAGCCATTTAATACTCCCAAATCAGATCTTAGAACTGGCCAAGCAACAACTTCAATGTTTTGAAAATTAAATCGTAAGCGGAAATCCTCCTGACTAACCATATGTATTATTGTGTCTTTATTTCCATCACTAATCCCAATCTTCCTCAATAGTACTTGGATGTGAGGACCTGCTATGAAACCTCCAAGTTGAATGTCTTTCTCTGGAAGCACTCTAAGAAAGGCCATCTTTATTCTTCTAGCATAGCTTTTGCAAATCATATCCCAACGGATTTCTTGAGGATCATCAATAACCTGCAGTGAATGTGAAAGAGCCCTAGCCCTTGCATTTTCCAGAATCCAGGATAGGGCATGTTGCATCTGTCTGAAATGCACAACCATTGATGATACTGACAAATAGTCCAAAGCTATATTTAACTTTCCAACTGTTAAATTGCAACTCCAAAGTCCAGAATCCGGCTTCTTCGGGTCTGGATATGTTAAAAAGCTTTTCATCTCACAAAGAAGGAATGGATTTTCAGGGAGCTCAATCTCACATTCTTCAAATTTCTTACGAGTTCTTGTCCAATTCAAACACATTTCTCCTAGAAAATTTTGTAGATGTGAGTCACAAGCAGCTTCATCATTACCAACAGCACTGGCTTTACGAGTTTGCAAAAAGGGAAACCGTTTTGCAGGCTCAGCATGCAGAATGGTTTTTGATTCATCACCTTCCATATTTTCTCCCCCAACCAAACTAGACTTTACCTTCAATTTCCCACAGGAAATGCACAAAGATTGTTCCATAATGTCTTCTGTGTATATGAATAATAACATCTTAACAGAGAGGCGAAATGAAAGGACTTCTGAATAACAAGGCCCAATATGGGACTCTACTTGTTCATTAACAGGCTGAATTGGTGGGTAAACATAGATAAACATCTTTCCAAGGGTTAAAGTGAAGTGAAAGGATGGAGAAGAATATTCAGACATAATTCCTAAATTTTCATCCAAATGTGAATCCTGAGGTGAAATCTTTCTCAAAAAGGAAGCAGTTGACAATATAACTCTCAGCAAGACTTTCCAAATAAACACCAGCAATGAAAGGACATTGCAGAAACTTTTAAAGCGACCATCAATAAGGAGCTGTCCACAACTATCTTCAGCCTGCTGAACACTTGATGCAGCTTTATATCGGGCTATTTGTCTTGCCCGTGCAACAAGATCAGCAGGCAACTCTTTTTCTATATCAGAAATTAGATTCCACCTTTGCTTAACTGAATTCAAAAACACTTGGTCCTTGGACATCTTAACAGTGGACCTTTTCAATAAGTGATTAGCAGGGTATCCAAGTAACACAAGCAAAGACCCATATGCATTAACATAACGTAACCACAGACAGACTTTACTTACTAACTTGTAAAATGATAATCTGGGAGACTGAATCAGTTTGCCAATTCTACTGGCAGCAATTCTCCATAGTCGCCAACCATTTCTGACCCTTATAGTTTTGTTTGACAGGAATGTACCAAATACAAAGAGAACAGGAAAATCAACTGGAGATAAAATGAATTTTAATTTTGGAACTTGGATATTGAATTCTGCAACTTCAAGATCATGTAGCGTAACGTACATAATGAGATCATTCAAACAACAGAAATGGTTAATTTGATTGCTCCTCTTATACACCAAGTCAAAACCACTACCATTGATAGCAAAAGAGATTTCTTTCAGAGGTCGAAAAGGCACACTAACAAGCCCTGTGCAAAGACTCCCATGGTCAAAATGCTGAGATTCTGCATTAAGCGCCTTCACTTCCAACAGGTATGCATAGTCATTTAAAAGAGGGGATTGCAGTTCAACATTAATGTTAAACATCTGTAGACTGCAATGTTGAAAAATAAGATTCAGAAAAGAAGATTTAACCCGGTTTCTTGGCAGGCTGTTGGCCAGGATCCTTTCCAGAACATCATGTAAAGAACTGCCCTGGAAAAAGCAAGCCTCAAGTGTAAGAAATCAAGTAAATAAGCCTTTCAACGCCTAAAATAGCTAGATTAAAAATGGTTCAAACAGTCTAGTGATAAAATAAATAAATAAATAACACCTCAGGATCCTTCATGGATATATCCTCCTTCCTCATCCTCTTTAATTCCGCCTCCTCAACGGATTTCTGCAACTTTCGGGAACCTTCTGCGTCTCTTTCACTTGCAAAAGAGAAAAAAATTCAAAAATAAAACAACAGTTTACTGAAAGCTCATAGAAGTACAAGTGCATACATCGGCTGCGGAGGCTTACTCAGCTAACAGAGTGACGCTGACACCGTGAGCTTCGAAGGTGAACGCTGGAGCTGACCAGTTGGAGAAGCGAACAACGAACTGTTCGATAGTGAATTCTTTGAAGGAGAACTGGGAAGAATCCTTCATGAGCTGATTGAGAGCGGACGCGCTGAGACGAAGATTCTTTGCTATCGCGAGAGAATTGATGAGCCCTAAATGAAGATCCAGGTCGGGCTCTTCGCAGAGCCATGGATGCAACAGAGACAATAGTCTCCGTTTTATTAATTTGTGAAAGAACATTCTGCAGATTGGTTAATTCAAGCAGGTTGAAGGAGTGACGAGTCGAGGTTTTGCGAGTTTCGATTCGGGGATTTTCTCGAGAAACAAACGGAAAAGCGGGAAATTCGGTGACTGACTGGGTAAGTGAACGTGCCGGACACAGTTTATTCTTTTCCGTTCTCTGACGTCTATCGTCTCCTCGCAGTGTCTGGAAGTTCCTTCTTTTTCCATTTTTTTAAAGACTAGACCTTGAGGTTCTTTAAGATTTTCGTTTTAGTCCTCTTTTATTTTTGGCTTTATTCAGTTTGGTTCTTTAGTTTTAATTTAGTTTTGTTTTTGTTTTAGGAGTGTTTGGTATACCAAACTAAAATTAGTAATGAGCGGTGTTGTTTGATTCTATAAATAAACATGTATAAATTATTAGTAAAAATAATTATTAATTATTAAATGAAATAAAATAATTAACTATTAATTTCAAATCTTTTTTTTTTTTTTT